GTTCCTTGCCCGACTCTTATGAAAACTTTGTTAATTCTATGTTGTATGGAAGAGAATCCATAAGTCTTGAGGATGTGAAGGTCTCTTTGAATTCTGTTGAGTTAAAAACAAAGTTGAATGAGAGAGGTACCGATAGGCAGACTGATGGTCTGCTAGCCAGAGGTAGAATGAAGACCAGAGAGGGTGATAAAGGGCAATCCAGAAATCGTTCAAAGTCCAGGTCAGCCAAAAACAAGAAAAATGTGGAGTGTTTCTACTGTCACAAGAAAGGGCATTACAAGTCAGAATGTTATGCTCTAAAGAAGAAAGACAACCAGCGTGGTGAAACCTCAGATTCAGCTAATACGGCAAAGGCTGATACTGTCGTTGTTGCTGAGACGGTTCTTGTAGTATGTCCCTTGGATGGTCGTTCCGATAGAGAATGGATCTTGGATACAGGTGCATCTTTTCATATGTGTCCAAATAAAGATTGGTTCACTACTTACAGATCTATAAGTGGTGGATCAGTCTTGATGGGCAACAATATAGTTTGTAAGATAATTGGCATTGGTACAGTTCACATCTGGTGTCACGATGGGATAGTGAGAACTTTGTCAGATGTGAGACACATCCCGAACTTAAAGAAAAATCTGATTTCTTTGAGTTCTTTGGATTCTATTGGGTGTTCTTACACTGGTGAAGGTGGAGCTCTTAGATTTACTAAGGGTTCATTGGTTATGACGAAAGGTAGTAAGGTGAACAGTCTTTATATTCTCCAAGGCAGTACGGTGACAGGCTCTGCAGGTGTGCCTTCTGATGCTGATAGGGACACTACTCAGTTGTGGCACATGCGCTTAGACCACATGAGTGAGAAGGGGATGACTATTTTGAGTAAACGTAGCTTACTCTGTGGTGACCATACATCATCACTTGATTTCTGTGAACATTGTGTGCTTGGGAAGCAAACTTGGGTCAGCTTCTCGACTGGCTCACATACGACGAAGGGCACTCTCGACTACATCCATTCAGATTTATGGGGACCTGCTCAAGCTCCACTCAAATGTGGTGCTCTTTATTTTCTGACATTTATTGATGATTTTTCCAGGAAAGTTTGGGTTTACTTTCTCAGGCGCAAAAGCGAGTTGTTCGAAACTTTCAAGAAGTGGAAAGTACTTGTTGAGAATCAAACTGGAAAGAAGATTAAATGTCTCCGAATAGATAATGGTCTAGAGTTCTGCAGTGGTGAGTTAAATCAGTTCTGTTCAAATTCTGGGATCGTACGACATCGCACGGTCAGGCACACTCCTCAGCAAAACGGGGTGGTACAACGCATGAATAGAACATTGACGGAGAGAGCTAGGTGTATGCTCTCAAACTCTGGGTTGGATAAAGACTTCTGAGCTGAAGCTGTTAACACAGCTTGTTACTTGGTGAACCGGTCTCCTTCTACAGCCATAGAACACAAGACTCCAAATGAGGTATGGTCAAGTAAACCAAATGACTATTCAAATTTAAAGGTATTTGTATGTCCCGCTTACTATCATGTTAGAGAGGGTAAGCTTGAGCCTAGAGCTAAGAAATGCATATTTATTGGTTATGCTGATGGCGTTAAAGGCTATCGTTTGTGGAGTCTTGAACCTGATTCTCCTAAATTCATTATTAGTAGAGATATTACTTTTAATGAAAGATATATGCTTAAGTCTTGAACCTGATTCTCCTAAATTCATTATTAGTAGAGATATTACTTTTAATGAAAGATATATGCTTAATCGTGGGAAGGTTTCTATTGAGTCTACAGGAAATGTAGAGAAGACCATGGATAAGGTGGAGCTTCAGATAGAGCTCGAGGGAGAGACGTCTCAAAAGTCGTCTATAAAAATTGCTCCTACAACTGTAGAAGAGCAACATGATTTAGACTCAGATGCTGATGATGCTGAGATTGAAGAACCTTATTCCATAGCCACCGGCGGAGAGAGGAGACAGATCAAACCTCCTCAAAGATATGCACATACTGAATTAATGGCGTATGCTCTCACGACAGCTGAAGAGATGTGTATTCAAGAGCCATCAAACTTTACTAAAGCTGTCTCATGTAGAGAATCTAGACGTTGGGCCACGGCTATGACAGAAGAACTCGAGTCACTCTACAAGAACCAGACTTGGGATTTGGTGCAATTACCTAAGGGTAATAGGGTAATTGGATGCAAGTGGATTTTCAAGAAGAAAGAAGGGATCCCAGGGGTTGAAGATGCTAGATTCAAAGCACGGTTGGTGGCTAAGGGTTATAGACAAAAGGAGGGAATTGACTATGATGAAGTGTTCTCTCCGGTTGTGAAGCATACCTCCATCCGTTTATTGCTTGTCATGGTTGCTCTATTTGATCTGGAGCTTGAGCAGCTTGATGTGAAGACTGTGTTTTTGCATGGCGAACTTGAGGAGACTATCTACATGTCTCAGCCAGAGGGATACTTCGTAGAAGGTAAAGAAGATCAAGTTTGCAGATTGAAGAAATCTTTGTACGGCATGAAGCAATCTCCCAGACAGTGGTACAAGAGGTTTGATAATTTTATGTTTAGTCATGGGTACTCAAGAAGTACTTATGACAGTTGTGTGTACTACATGCATCTAGTAGATGATTCTTTTATTTATTTTCTATTATATGTCGATGACATGCTTATTGCTGCTAAGAATATGTCACAGATTCTTATTTTTAAGAAACAACTCAGTGATGAGTTTGAGATGAAAGATCTTTGTGCAGCAAAGAAGATCTTAGGTATGAAGATTAGGAGGGACATGAAAGCTGGAACTTTATATCTCTCACAGAATAGTTATATTGAAAAGGTGCTTGAACGCTTTAGGATGAAAAGGGCCAAGCCCGTTACGACTCCTTTGGCTCCTCACTTTAGGCTCTCGGCTTCAGATTCACCTACAAGTGAGAACGAGAAGAAGGAGATGTCCCGAGTTCCATACTCCAATGTAGTGGGTAGCAATATGTATGCTATGATTTACACTCGTCCAGACATTGCCCAGGCAGTCAGTGTAGTGAGCAGATACATGGCTCAACCAGGAAAGGCACACTGGGAGGCAGTAAAGTGGATCCTTCGGTATCTCAGGGGTACCTCAGATTTGGGTTTAGTTTTTGATAGCAGTACTTTGGGAACCTCAGTTGTAGGTTTTGTGGATTCTGACTATGAAGGTGATTTCGATAAAAGGAGATCTTTGACTGGTTATCTTTTTTACTCTTTCTGGCTCAGCTACTAGTTGGAGATCGACTCTACAGTCGACAGTTACCTTGTCTACTACAGAGGCAGAATACATGACAGCAGCAGAAGCGGTAAAAGAGGCCATTTGGTTGAGAAATCTCGTGAGTGAGCTTGGACTTTAGCAGGAGGCTAGTTCAGTTGTATTTTGCGATAATCAGAACGCAATACATCTAAACAAAAACTCAGCACATCATGAGAGGACAAAGCATATTGATGTCAGATATCATTTCATTCGTGAGGCAACTGCTGAAAGAAACATCACAACTACTGCAGACAACCCAGCTGACATGTTGACCAAACCGATCCCAGCCTTCAAGTTCAAGCACTGCTTGAATTTGGGAGGTATTCCCACTTGTTCGGTGGTCCCGTTTGGGGCATTGTTTGCAAGACGGGTAAAGACTCTCTAGTTATTAATGTTTGGGAATTCAATCCAAGGTGGAGATTGTTGACTTTGTTGGCTTGAATTTGGCCAAACATCACGGGAGCTCGCTGTCAAGTTATCTCAACGCGTCTGCTGAAGAAATTATGGAAGGGAGGTCTCATCTTTATGTCACTTTCATGTATTGTCCCCATCTCAATCAACCACTCCCTCTTTCTTTGTTTTGTCTCTGCGTGTATTAAAGAAGGTCACACTTTTTAAGTCATTTTCTCACTTGTGGTCCCCTCCCCAATCAATCAATCACTGATTGATTTAATCAATCTCTATGTGAATTAAAAGCGAAGTGAGAGTGTAAGGCAGAGTAGAGAAAAACACAAACACACGAGAGATAGCCACACAACAAAAGTGAGTTCTCAAATTTTGTATGAGTGTTGTAATTTGAGAAAGAAATATAGTGAAATACCCTCTTGCCGTGGACGTAGATCAAATTGATCGAACTACATAAATATTGTGTTTGTGAATGTTCTATTTTCTGGTTCTGTGTTCAATTATCCCAACATTATTTATACAAGTGAAGCTTGTTTGAAATTCAAGCTAAGGTTCGAAATGCTCACCTGACATACTACTTATTCAGGCTGCATGCCATTCCCTCAATACCGAAACGAACAATGACGATGGTTAAATTGTGAAAGTTCCATATACATTACTGAAATAGTTTCATCAAGGCTTCAGATGATATAACTTTCTAGCTTGCTGGTGTATGTAGCATGACCAATTAGGTCATTAGCTGGTTATTCTAAAACCAAGATTTAAAGAATTGAAATAGTATACACTACACTGTACAAGGCTTTAGTTCAAAAAGGTTATTATATATATTCGACGTACACAAAAGTTTTTCCTTTGGACGAGCACTAAGATATAAACAAATAATATAAGGTTGTGTTTGGATTGAAGGATTTGATTTCAAATTCTAGAATTAAATTCTGAAATTTGGAATCAAGAGTTCCAAATTCAATTCTTTCATTTGGGAAACATCCAAATTTGAATTCTATAATTCAATTTGAAATTCATGTTTGGTATACTTTAGAATTTCAATTTTAAAATTTTCAATTGAGTTGTTTGTCAACTAGTAGAATTCTAATTTCTGAACTAAAATTATAGCTCGAAGATAATTTAGAAATAAGATACTCAAATTACAAAAGGTATGTATTAAAATTGGTGAAAATAAATGGCTCAATTAGTATATCACATATCCAACTAACGTGACATATAGATAAAATACCTTAAAATCTCAAATGCAGTAATGTCAATAGTTGACCTAATAATCACCATAAAAATAACCGAAATCATTCATCAATAAAACTTTGTAAACTCATCCACTACTAAACAAAACAATAAATAAAGTAGAAACTTCAAATATTACATATAACAATTCAACAAACTAGAGATCAAAAATATCCAACAAATACAAACCAATAAAAGTTAATAATTCGTCGTTACGCAGTATCATGCATAAGTTGCCCTCGCACTAGTTTCTTTAAGACTTTTACATGTGATTCAAATGAGAGTTTCTTTCTAATACTTACACACTTTCACTTTGTATTTCTTTGGTAGTTTTCTCCCCTCGGTTCAGAAAGTCTTGCATTGCGAGTTCTTGAATCACCTGAAACAATAACAAGAAGACCAAATTAGCTCCATTCTTAATCGCTCGGTTGCAGAATATACTGAAGAATTTTACAAGCTAACGAGTCCCACTAACTTAAATAAAACTGATGAACAACATGTGGAGAGTTCAATTTAAGCCAGAATGATGAAACCATGTGGTTTCCATACAAAATGCTTGTACTAAAAAGAGCATATATTTCAGCTTGAATAAATGAAAATTTTTAGTCAAGATAACTGAGACAATGATGTTCAAACATTTAATACGCACTAACTAAAACTACCAAAACCAGAGCTTCAATGCAAACAGAAAAGTTAATGAGTTATTTTTTTTACCATAGTCTAAGTGTTCAAGACATAGCATAATCCAATCTAACTTTTGATTGTCTGGAAGTAACTTCAACATCCGAAAATCATGTGCAGAACCATCAATGAATCCCTTAACCGCCCTTAAAAATTGATGTTGAGGAATACCCCTCACTTTAGATACTTCGGCATAAATCTCCTCACAATCAGCTTTTGGTGGGTTCGTACTCACCAGATACTCCTTTAGCATCTCACCAACATCACTTGATGCATTTGCTAAAGGGTCTCTCTTGAGCTTCTTATTGGATTTAGAAGTTGAAGATTTTGAAACCTCTCTGCTAATTTGCTAAAGGGTCTCTCTTGAGCTTCTTATTGGATTTAGAAGTTGAAGATTTTGAAACCTCTCTGCTAGAGCTCTCCCCTTCATTTTAGAAGTTGAAGATTTTGAAACCTCTCTGCTAGAGCTCTCCCCTTCATTCGCACCTTCCATATCCATATATCAATAAGATTTTGAACATCACTCATTTTTTGAATCTAGAATATATACGATGAAAGAGCAAAGGCATAATTTCTGTCAACTATCTATCACTGTTCAAAAGAGTGAACAGTCAGTATGTGCACAAGAATATGTGTAAGCTAAGTATCCAATTTGAAACTAAAGCCTCTATTACCATAACTATCATCATCTCTAATATTCAAGAACTAAGTATCCAATTTGCGCTATCCACATGTCAACCATGTGCTCACTCACACACTTTTGACAATCTGTGGGCAAAACATACAATACAATGCTGGTTTGTGCAGCTTAATAAGTTTTTTAACACGCAGACTTGATCCATTTACCGAGTAGATATACTCAAAAACAAGTACAAACACTCCCATGTTTCAGTTGATGATCTTGGAGATTGGGAGGATCAGATGCGGATCCTTCCCAACCAGGTAAAACATAAGTAAATTGGAGATTGGGATTGCACACGGCAAGGACATTTGTGCTGATATTACCCTTTCTATCTCGATATCTAGGTCGATCCTCAAGAGGGACAGTCATTTGAATGTGTGTCCCATCAAGTGCTCCAAGTACACCCTAACAATCAACCCCATAACATCATATAGATTACATATTTGCACGAACAAATCTATATAGCCAAAAAACAAATTATTATTACCTTAAACCATTTCCATTTGTTATCTCCCGCATAATTAGTGGTGTATTCTGCTTGTTTGACATAATACTTCCCGATATTCATAACCGCTCGGAGCACCGTATGAAATTGTCGTCTTATAGTTTCTCCGGAACGAAAAAAGATTGCTCCAACAGTTTGATTCTTCAAGTTATGAGAAATAACATGTAGGAAAATGCCACAGCTTCTCACACCGTGACATTCCTAGAAACCACCAATCCCCCTTTAGATCGTAAAATGGCACACAACTTCTCAAAACAACGCCTATTAAGACGTAGTTGCTCCCGACATATTGTATCATTCATTAATGTGTCCATCCAGAGGGCTCTTTTATGAGGATGTACATCTTCACTCCATGTTATCTCCTTGATGCTAGACCTTCTTCTATGACGGTATGCTCCAACTGCCATTATTATGAAAGTCATAATTATGATAACTAGCTTTTTTCATCATCTTCACCTACTTCTTCCCTTGCACGTTTCCTTTGACAATGTAAACTTTGTTGGTCTGACATTTTCTCCTAAATTGTTTCATCATCAAAATTTAATGTGTAAAACTATACTTATCTAAGAGATAGAATCAGACCATGTAACATGTTTCATCATCAAAATTTAATGTGTAAAACTATACTTATCTAAGAGATAGAATCAGACCATGTAACATGGAGTAAATGTAAAGGAAATGTAAAACTATACTTATCTAAGAGATAGAATCAGACCATGTAACATGGAGTAAATGTAAAGGAAAAGAACAAAAAATTTAGAATTACTAAACAAAATTATCAAACACTAAAGATAACAATATGAAACAAAAAGTAAATTAATAACCGAGCCAATGATATCAGGTACAAGTTCTTCACTGTGATATCTGGCAATGTCTGATATTCACTCCTAATTGTTCACAATCGTTCATTTCAATTATGTTGTTGGATCAATTCCACACAAACTGTTGACAAATACAAATGACGCTAAGCAAATGTTAGCAAATGCATCTCAATTTTGTCACGAAAGCAGAATATACATTATGCACTTCTTCTTATAATCATAACCAAGTAGAAACAAATACACAAAACAATGTTGTCGCAGCAACACATGCATCTACATCTTATACTAAATCTTAGGATATATCACTGACAATATCATTCAAATTACAATAATACATGCATATTACAGCCTTAAATGTGGGAATTTGTCTTGTTCACCGAGAATAAAATAGATAAATCATCACTTCTTAAACAACTAAATGACGAGATCATTAATCAAATTAATAACAGATTCAAAGGATTCTTATTGAAACACATAACGCAGTGAAATCAACAACTAGGCATTGAAATAAGAATATAAATTAAAAAGAGCAAATCAATCAAAATTCAAAAAAATAAATCACAGTTCTCCTAGATCTAGGATCTCACTGTTGTATTGTCGTCGTCGCCCAAGGTGATATTAGTGCTTGCGAGCCGTCGCTGTTTGGATCGTCTTCACCGGCTTGATCTAGGAACTAGGGTTTTGATGGAACTGGAGAGAGAGCGATAGCGTTGTTGCCGGTTGGATCTAAGATCAAGAGTTTTGATGGAACTGGAGAAAGAGAGCAATTGAGAGCTGAAGTAAGGAGAGAGAAATCGTGGCTCGAGAAAGAAAAACGGCGGAAGCGGAAGTGAGAGAGAGATCGTGGGTCGAAAAAATATGGAATTGTAAATGACAGAGAATAGGGTGGGATTTAGAATTCTAGGTTTATTACCGGTTTACAATGTTAATGGATTTGGCTCAATATCGAGTATTCAAATTCTTTTGAATCCAAACAATGTAATTGGGTCAATTACGGTATTTAAAATGAAATATTGGTTACCAAACAGGCTGTAAGTGCTTTTAAGCTAGAGAATTCAGAAAAGATGGGATGCTCCGTAAGTGAAAAGAAAATACTAGCGAACCCTGACGGGTCAACAAAACAAAAAGCAACTTTAAGATGCATACTAACAAGCTGATCTACAGAGAAGAAGACAGACACAGTTGATTCTTGATGAATCCACCAACAGAGCAAGGTTAGGCCTCACCATCTACATCCTCTCCACTTGAAGTGCTTGAACGGGAAGATCTTTGCAGTAATTACACTGATATCAACCAAAAATAACAGGATCAAGTTTAAAAGAGATTACACGCTACAACAAGAAGAAAAATTAATGAATTGAAAACAAAACACAATATAGAAATGCCTAAGGTCAACAGTTAATGGTACAAATGGATTTATGTTTATGTCAGTTTTACATAATATTGTCCATTATTTTTCTATTTTGTTTTGCCTCCTATTGACATCCATGCTCAACAGTTAACAATATTTGAGTCGCTTCTTGATAAATATATCTAGTGTTATTTGGATTTATTTTCATTTTATTTTGAAGAAAAATTGTGTTGAAAGAGAAAACTCATTAATTTCATGTTTTATGTGTACTTTTAGAAGTGACATTGCAAAAGAATCTTTTTTTTTTAATCTGAGAATTCATATCATGTTTTAGGTCATCCTATTTGTACATTACCTCGATGGAATGATATTGCACCAACCTCAATAAAATAATATCCTAGAACCTAAATTGTAACATTTTACAAGTAGAGATTGCAGGATTCAAATTCAAATGAACTAGCGAAGCACGGCCTTTCCTTTTTTTTATCGTTACAGTAATCCTATTTTTTTAATTCCTACAGTATATTTTTTAAATGATACAGAAATATTTTTTAAAATGATACAGTATCTCACCTCTTCTACAGTAATTTGTTTTAAAATGCTACGTGACTTTTTACCTGAAGCTGCATTTATCCCGCTTATGCTAATAATGCTACAGTTTAAATGCCGCAGTAATTTTTTCAAAAATGCTACTTTGCTACAGTATAGCTTTTTAAAATGCTGCAGTAATATTTTCCAGATGACGCCACAAATACCTCGCATATGCTGCAGTAATGTTCTTTTAAATTGCTACAGTAAATTACTGAAGGATGAATAGTAATTCTAGGGTCCTCCCATTATTATAGAGGAATAGATGTCCCAAACACCTTTGAATAAATGTTGCGGCTGCTGCTTTATACCCTATAAGTCAGCTTATATACTCTTAATAGCCCAAATTCCTCCCATCTGTTTATCCATATCTTTTTCCTTTACCAAGTTGCATGTGTTTAGTTCGGCTCCAATCTTTGTAAGACAAAGATCATAGGACTTTTACATGTAACTTTTAGCATAATCTACGACAAAGGGTCAAAAATGTTCTTACTTGGACTTGAATTAAAAAATATAAAAAAAAGTTAAAGAGATGTTGGCTCAAAACCTTTCCTCTGCACAAGCAGCTTTGAGTTGGTTAGTGAGTTCATGTTCCTCGTGCTCCTGGTATATCATAACAACACAGCCTTCTGGCCCTTCAGATATGGAATATTTGCTACCAAAAACTATCGGGATCACTTGGTCTGCAAGAGATCTCATTCTAACAACAGTCAGTATCTATGCCAATTTTTTCTGCAGCTCCAGCTTATGATTTCAATATGCCTATTATACCTTGCAAGCTGCTCATAGTTGCAATTCACATCCTGTCTAAATTTATTTCTTATACTCATTTATACAATTTATATAATTATCTTTGATTCTATCACCCTCTTCGAAGTCTGTGTCAGAGGCTTCTATCAAGAGAAAATGATAACACTGGAACCAATGAAACATAAGGTTTGGTACCTCTCCCAGATGGTAAGGTAGTGGTAAGATTAGGTGAGTGTATATTCTGAGTTCGTAAGATACGTTGTGACGGTCCTTTGACTTGGTTGAGGGCTAAATTAGTAGGAAAGTGGTACTCCCAGAAATGTTCTTTCCCCTCGTATCTGATATGCACAAGAAGCTAGGGACGCTAGGTAAAGAACACATAATCCTTGAAGGAAAGATATATAGATTACAAAATATGAAGAATATTGCAGCTTTTAGTTTGAGTTTTAACCAGTACCAGATCCTGTTTAATGCATAGCCTTTTATAGCACTAAAAGAAATAAACGATAGAAAAAGACAACCAAGCAAATGCCATAAAGATATTCACTTAAAGGCTAACCAGCCCTGGTACAAAGCATGGAGTCATAGTTTTGAACCTTTCCCACCAAAGAGAAAAATAAAACTGCCTTAAACCAACTAACTCGCTGCGTCTTATTTGACACTTTCCAGTGTGTTAACCATACTGTTTAACTCATTTCAGTGATCATTGACCTGCCAACAAACATGTATACCAGTGCTATGAAAGAAAGGGAATCCAGTCACACATACAAGCCACTTTGGTTAACTGGTCGATGCTAACTGATAGTCTCACGAAGTGTAGCCAGAAAATTCAACGATAGTCGAGTTACCGGAACAGTGTGCATGAAGAGAACAGCTTGTAAGTAATCTTACTGAAGAAGAAAACAAAGAAAACTTACCAAAAAAGAAAATATTAACTAATTTGAAGAGGGTTCACTTTCCGTATGTTTTCCAAACAACCTCAGTGCAAGCGCATAGACATGCTTTCTCTTTGCTGCTCTTCCTTCAGCAGCAAACTTCACTGCCTAGTGTGTATTAAAATTAGAAGAAAGTAATCACACATTATAAAATCAGTATATATTGAGAAACTTAAAAGATAAGCAGGTCAAAAAAAAATTTTATCTTACTCCAAAGAGAGTTACATGTGGATTAATTTAAAATGAGAAATATAACTCACAATCAAAGAGTTTAATAAGATAATGCCACCATTACTAAGCAAAAACTTCACCTGGTATAACAGAAACCTGGGGGAAAAACTTTTGTTTATGTAGGTTTACACTATCATCAATCTAACAGCAAGCAGAACATGTAAAGTGACTGCAGAATGTAATTACAAAATAAATGCGATTAATATTAGACGGTCAAAATTCTCAACCATTTGCAAAAATTATTGATCCTAATTAATCTATAGCAATTACTATTGCTCAAATATTATCATTTACATAAGCTAAAATAATTCCATGGTTTCACAGAATTAGCTTGTGATGCCCCAAAATATTATAGTTGTACATCGCCTGTTGGTGATAGTGAGATGTGCTAATTGTCATAGACTCATGCTATGATAAGGACATCGCGTATTAATGGCGTGGTGATTGTGAGACCCCTGTTGTGCGCAGCGGAAATTTCGGCAGAGTTTCTGGTGCACAATAAGAGAGAAAGATCGATAAGAATTCTTGTTTCTCAAAGGGAACAAGAATCTGAAAGCCTAATATCCCATCAAAGTGGGATATTTGCTCTTCCTCTCGTCAGCTCTAGGACTGCGCGTCGAGGGATCCTAAAACTATTACAATGGCCACAAACTCAAACAAACCAATTTTTACGTGGTTCGGCAAACTGCCTACGTCCACGGGGCAAGGAGGGGGGATCTACTATTAGAGGGGAGAGAATACAACTAGGGTTTACAATCACTCAATCTAAACCCTCAAACTAATTCTCCAATCTCTCACAAAAAAGGCTCTCTCAAAACAGTCAAAAAAACATCTATTTCTCCTATTGCACGCACCCCAAGACCCTGTCAAAGCCTTGCACGCCGCCAAATAAAGGAGCCTCTGTTCTTTTGCACTGCTGCGCCTCTTTTCTTCCCTCTCAATCTTGTACAGCCGCAGGTTTTTGATTTCCCCTCACCTCACACACAAAAACCTAGGAAGAACTAGGTATATATAGTAGTTAAGTACCGGGTGGGCCTTTTAACCGCTGAACAAACCTCAGCTTTCAGCAATTCTCTCTTCACGTGAGTCTTCAAGTGTTCACGAGAACACCTCACACGAAAAACCCTTCACGTGTCCACTGGCCCCCACCCTATCACATTCACAATTCTCCACCTCGGCGAAGTTTTCTCAAAAACTGAGCCGACACCAACCAAACAAAATGTCTCACTTGTTGTGTCCAGTACATCGTGAAAAAATTCACGACAACAGACTCAATCCATAACAAGTCGAGACCCAAACGGGAGTGCGAACACTCACCCAAATATCGGTATCAACTCACCAAATCGATCTCACCCCCATCCAATCCAAACCCGGCTGCATCATAAAGACTGCCTACGTATCCTCTTGCCCAAGGAATCAAGCCGAACGTAGTTCACCCAAATGGCCGCTAACGACCTCAATCCAATAGAAGAGTACGCAACCCTTCTCCAATATCACGATCAATTCTGTGACTGATAGCACCTCCCATGGCCTCAAACACCTCCACCTGAGGTGAACCAATGGTCATATCCAAACTGCATCTATCAGCTGCACTCAAGTCAAAACCCAACTCATCATCTGCATCCGAATCCAAATGACTTCCACGCTGTGTCACCTCAGCTGGAATCCCAACTAATGCAGTATGATCGAGAGTAATCTTCACCCAATGTGGAGTAGCATCAATCTCCACCCGCTGCGATACCTCTAAGGTCTGTCCAAAACTCTCCACCTGCTGAGAGTCAAATAGCTCCCTCATCGAAGCCTCAACCGAAGTGACACAATCAGACCTCTTTTCTAATGGAGTTTTACCTCCAATCACAGCAGTTGACAACTCTTTAATAGGATGACCCAAATATGTCGAAGCCTCTGTCCAGAAACTCTTTTGCAAACCATTGCTCGACAACAAACACCGATCCTCCTCCAGCAAGGTACGGTTCTCCAAATTTGTCACCCTATCTAGCTGCCCCAAGATTTCCTTTCCAACGAAGTGTCTCGAAATGCCGTGAGCTCGGCTCCAACACAGAAACAGGTCCATCCACTACAACAGAAAAGCTAATCCGCGAGGAACAAGTTTATCATTGAAAGTCGAGATTTCCTCGCCGTAGTGTGATTGCGAGGAAAAAACTTTGGTCACCATTTCCTCGCGGTAGGGTGGTCAAGAAAAGTTTCTACGAGGAATATTATAATTTCTCGCGAAATCCTTTTTGCGATGAATATATTCTTTTCTCATTGTTACTCTTTAGCCTCGATATTTTTTCTCACCTAATCTCATACATTTTTCATCGCTAAACTACAGTTTCCTCGCCAATGATACGTGAATAATATTTAATTTATATATAATAAAAGTTATAAAAAACTATTTTCGTCGTTGTAAGTATCTTTCAGCTAAAAAATTATTCCTCACCAAAGGTAAATCTTTAACGAGGAAATTGATTTTCTTCATTATATGTATCTTTTTCTCGTGAAAACAGTTCCCCAGTAAAGGAACTCAAAGATGAGAAAATTTAAATTTGTCGTTATAGGTTATACCCCATATTCCTCGCTAAATAAATTCAATTACGAAGAAATTTACATTTGTCGATATAGGTTATATGTTCTATAGTGAGGAAAATTACTTTTACCGTTATAGGTTATATCACTATAGCGAGGAAATATGTTTTTGTCGACGTAAGCAGTATACTCTATAACGAGGAAATATTCTTTTGACGACCTAACAAGTATACTTATAATGAGGAAATTTTAATTTCATCAATAATAATGTTATTACGAGAAAAACGCTCAAAATATAAATAATTGTCATCAATTGTCACCACAGTACATCAAAACAATTAAAATAAATAAAGCAAGTTTCTACCATAAGTAACAATGCTAGTCTAAAGCAATAACAAATGCAACACGATCAAAGAAACATTTCTCCAAGTTTAAGTTCACTAAGAATACTAAGCTGATGGATGTTGCCTGGAAAAATTAGCCATAAACTCCTCAAAAAGCTTGCTCCTCTAATCTTTGGATTACCTCATTTTGCGCATCGATCTTTTGTTGTTGAGTTCCTACAAGTTGTTGGGTCACTTGAAGCTGTTCTTGCAACTCTTTATTCTTTTTAGACATTTCACTCATCGAAGAACGAGAACCTTAATGGTGGTGGTTTAGGGCCAAAACCACAGCCCTTAATGTAGCCTGATTTGACTTTGATAACTTTTGCACAAATTTCCTCATGTGTCATTGTTCGAGTTCCATCAGGTTGAGTGGTATCTGCTCAGCATCTTTATCATTTGATCCTATAAGTAAAAAAATATATCCAGTTCAATCATATGCAACTTCTCAATTACAACTAATCAATATAATCCTTTTTAGAACAATAATATCAGTTTCACCCATATTCTTAAATATTATAAAAGCATGCATCATTGACACGTTACTTACCCATTTTTCCTTTGATCCCAAGTCCCATCCTTTTTTGTGCTTCTATACTCTGTTTCAAAACGATCAATTACCACTTCTCCAACTAATTTACAAATAATCTTGAAAAATAATAAAGCTTAAAAACAAAAAAGGAACGTGATGCATAAAATATACTAAACCTTGCAAGAAGAACTCAATTGAACGTCTTACCGAAGCACAATCATTTTACATTTGGACTTTATCTAACTTAATTGTTGATACATGAAGCAACTACATGTGGACATATGCTTACAAACTGTACGCATTATATATCTGTTTGGGTTTTAAATTGGAGCACAAGTAAGCATAGAATAACTTTAAAGAAAATTTTAACTCCAACATGAGTAGATGAAAGCAAGAAAAGAAGTCTAAAGAGAGAAAGAAATTACATGATCCAATGACCACGAAGACTAAGAAACCAAGCACAATTGATCCTACAGGATAGTCAGCTCCTTTCTTCACAGTTGTCTCAGGGACAAATCCCCTCTTCGTGATGTAGGCCATTAAAAAAATCCAAATTTAGCTCCATTAGAGTTGCATATGAAGAACGCTTCATCTTTGACAACATCGGCACAGAAATCATTTAGCTGGCTTGCCCATGTCTCAAATGTATAGAAGGAATTCACTTTGAACTCCCGAGGATTTGGTTTGTCAGAATACCCATAACCGATAAGGTCAATTGAATAAACTCTACTTGTATTTGCTAGATAAGAAATGTTTTTCTGCCAGTGTTCATTGTTGAAAGAGACTTTTGCATTATAGACAACATTTGAGTATATGATAAGAAAAATATAAGAAAATCACATGATAAAACTGAGAAAATTAAATTCACAGATTGCAAATAAACTCAACTCTTGTAAAAGATATGAAAACTACTCAAAAGTTACAAAAGAATTCAGTTCCATAAAACATTACGAGCCTTCGATATGCTCACTCCAAATCGAGAATCCTAGGGCCTCATAAAAATGAGTTCAAAATAGTAGGGGAAAAAATAGACATCTCAAAAAGGCAAACTAGGTTATTCATGTATTGTCACCACAAAATAGATACCTAATAGTCATTTGCAATACAGAGAGCATTAATGGACACATTAGAAGGTAGAAAAATCATATGCACAATGCAATACAATCACCAGACAGGGATAATCATGCCAATGAAAGAGGACAGAAACAGATGGGTAAATCAAGAGTGACATGCATACAACTTTGTTAAAGGAATATAATACTATGTATTTGACATAGAAAGCAAACAATTTGAATATTAGTACCTAAACAAAATTATTTTCCTTCAAAAGGAGCAAAAATGTGTACGACATAGACCTGTTCGCCCCGAATCCATGTATTAAAACTAATGCAGGTCTGTCCTTCCCAACATATTGATAACGAATGCGGTAACCT